GGGGGGGGGGGGGGGGGGGCAGGGCCCCCGGATCTGCATGCCGGGTTTCAGCAGGCTACCGCTGCAGGCTAGAGCCAGCAGCAGCACCACAGTCTTCCCGTCGCTTGGCGCAGGCTGCACCAAGTGACTGCCGCTGGCCCCAGCCTGCAGCAGCAGCAGCAGCAGCCTGCTGAAACCCTGTACGCCCCCCAGAAAGAGCTGGGGGAATGTTCAGAGAGCTAGATGTCAAAATCAGAGCAGTCCTTTCCCCCTCTTCCCCTTCCCTCTCCTTAGTTTTTGTTTATCTGCAAGCAAGCCCGGCTTCGAAATACTTTAAGTGTCCTTGTTTAATTTCAAAGCTGTTCTGGAGCCTTTCATTACATTTCAATTTTGCTGTTTTGAGCTTGAAACAGCTTTGAAACGAAACACCCATTGAAATTTTGCACAGGCCTAGTTTTTATTACTGAGGTGTCCAAGCAGACAGCAAAAAATATAACACAGACTGACACTTACAGAAGTTTATGCAGTTTACCCATTCTTGGAGCAACATATTAGTTCAACCGACAATCTACCAGCCATGCCAACTGCTTCATCATTATCATATAAAACAGATTCAATTAAGCCAAACATCACTCCCAACACTAAGCTCGCTGTAAAATCATCTCTTAACCAGTCAGTACTTTTACTCAGTTACACAGCAGAACCTTACTTTGGTTCCCTTCCCAGCCATAGTTTAGTTTTCAGGAATATACTTGTACATCATAACAGAAAATGTTAAATGTAAAATAACAGTATTTTACTTTTTCACTACCAGCAAGTTTTCAGGCATAAAAGTCTGGTTCATGCTCAAAGTAAGTATTTAGAAAAAGTCAACCCCACCAAAAATACCCCCCCACAAGTTTGTTTAACCAGTTTTAAAATTCCTACAAAAGAAGAACAGGAGGAAAACCATCATGTCAGACTACTCCATCTAACTGAACCCTTTTAGATACTATTATTAATTACCTTTCAATAAAGCTAGCATTTTTACAGTAGTAACATATTACTGTTCATCTTTACATATACAAATTGCTATTAATTACTAAATGATCTAGTTCCTAATCAATAGACTTATATTAGGCACTTCAGTTCTCTTAAAGATCTGGGTGCATACTGTACACATTTTCTTACCCAAAAAGGTCATTCAGAAGGTTTGAGTGCAGAACTACATGGAAATGCATACAAATTGAATCACTGAATTTGAGCTACTGTATTATGCTTTATTTATTCTAAAATACCAAATGAAATCGCCCTATTACAAAACAGTAGAGCACCATTACAAATACTTACATATCATATTATTCAAGCATAGATGTCCAAATGCTGTCAGACTTGTTGCCAGTTAACAACTACATACATTAAAACTGCAGAAATGCTACTGGGTTGTAAATGAGACAATGGTTTCAAAAAGTAATTTGATGAAACACATTCATGGTATGGCAACATGCTCCACTATTTTAGTTAATGAGAACAGAAAGGTGAATACACTGCATTTTAAACAAGTGTCGCTACTAACAACAGTTGACCTGTTTATAAAAGCATTGACATTTTTCTGACAAATTTACCTCATTGGAGGGGGAAGCGGGAGGTGTAAAAATTGTCTTCCAATAGGACCATACAAACATGACAAACGACAGATGAAAAACCACAAGGTAGACAACTGCAATAAAAATAAATACAAATAAGATTTCAGTGAGAACAGCTGAAGAGAGCAAGAAGTAAAACATACAAAGCAATGATTTTTGGTGCAGACAAGCTATTTTTCTTCAGGGAGCCAGTAAGATCAATTTCAAAGAAACTTTCATTTCATCCAGAACAGAATTAGCACTGATCAAGAGTGTCTACTTAAATCCACTTCACAGGCCACATGATATGATCCATATGGCATAGGTTACATTAAAATTATGATGATTAAGAACTGGGTCTTGAAGTGATCTCTCAAACAGACTCCCACATTTTTTTAAACACCTGAGTCATCAGGTAGCTGCTTGTTGACTGCACCAACCCACCACTTAAAGAAATATGCACACTGAATCAGGCCACTTAAATGAAAGCCTACGGTGCATCTGCCATGGCCAGATTAACACCCTTCTCCACCACTTTCCCATGTCCCAAAATTAAATCTACATTAAAAGTACACACTTAAATCATCATCTTTGAGATCTGTGCTAAGAGCAAGTGTCAGTTGGACTGTTCCTAACGTACAGTATATTTAATTTGTCAGCAAGTGAAAAAGCATCTTATACTGTAGGCATCATACTAAGAAAAGTTATGTTAGACATGTCAGTATCATAAATGATATTTTATTTCTAGTGGAGCTGACGCTATGTGCTGAAGCAAAAGAAAGAAAAAATGCTGTCCTACATTCAATCTACAAAGAATGTTTACCACACATGAATTTTACTACACTTTAATATAACAGGTTCCCTGTCTGTTCCCATCTTGGAAAGGCTCTTTATAAAATGTTGGTGACTTGATCTAATGGGAATTCTTGATGTAACATTTCATATCTCTAGGAGCATATCCAAATAAGAACTTTTACTTTTATCATTTTTCTTTCATGTAACTGTGCGGTCACTCTGTTTTCCAGCTGCCAAATCAAAAAAAGAATATCTGTAATTTAAAAAGTTGTTGTTACTCCCATAGCATGCTCATGCCTCACTGGTAGGGGAGCAAGCTAGACTCAGCACTGTCAAACCTATACTGAAGAGTAAATGGGACTGACATAAAAAGAAGAGGTGTAGCTCTGTTATATGTGCGCAACTGGTAATCTATGGTCAAGAATCATGAACTCAGACTGGAACAGATGCAAAGAAGGACTGTTATGGTGGTTAGGGGAATGGACAGCTTTTCTTACAAGGATAGACTTGCTTAATTTAGCAAAATTATGTCTATGGGAGAATATGACTACTCGGCATATCATGAAAGCGTCAAGGAAGGAGGAAAGCTAAAGCAGACTGGTGGCACAAGAACAAACAGATATAAACTGGTTATGAATAAACTTTTATCTGAAAATGAGCTTTATAACCAGAAGAACAAAGTTCTATAAGAGCCTTCCAAAAGGAGGAGTGTGAATAAAAACCAAACTAATTTTAAGATGGAGTGTGATCAGTTTACTAATGGCCTTATATGACGCAGTTGCTTGTGACAGCAAGGGTCTGAATCTATGACCCAAGAAGTTCCCTCCTGTCCCCATTTCCTGCCAGTTGTTTCCTCTTAACAGTAGGCGGAAACAGCTGTGTGGTGTCAGGCAACAGGTCTCCTAAAAAGGAAGGAACATAAAATATTTACATCATCTTCTGTTCCTTGAAGGGGAAAACTTGACCTATTTCTGTGCATAGCTATACAAAGATCTTTAAAGAAGCTATATTTAATGTTTCAGGAATAGCATGATGTTGACCTTAAGGTTGTAGTTTCTACCACCTTTGAATAAAGCAAGCAAGCTTATTCCCTCCTGGCCTTCTTTGTCTTTTTCTCACAATGACAACATTAACCTGATTTGAGCTCTCATGGATTTGACTCTTCCTAAGCTTTTTCCTTGTAGAGTCCTTCTGCCCTTATCCATTGCCCTTTCTGCCTAAAAGAGGAACAATGAAACCACCTTACTGTCAAGGGACAGAGACAATAGAATTCATTTGACAGAACAAGCAGAAAAAAGCCTTGTATGTGGTGCCCTAAAACCTGTAACTCTGTTATATGAACATGAAACATCTGACAGAGAGGAGATTTAGGTTGGACATCAGGAAGAACTTCTTTACAGTAAGGGTTGCCAGAATCTGGAATGGGCTTCCAAGGAAGGTGGTGCTCTCCCCTATCCTGGGGGTCTTTAAAAGGAGACTAGACAAGCACCTGATTGGGGTCATATGACCCCAGCACGCTTTCCTGCCCAGGGCAGGGGGTCAGACTTGATGATCTATTGAGGTCCCTTCAAACTCTAACAACTATAAAACTATGAAACGCCTCAGTGTGCTAGGCAGTATACAGCAAGAGATGGCCTTCTCTGACTAGCTTACAATATAGGCTTAGATCAGGGGTGGGCAAAATGGCAGATCTGGCCAGTAGCTGGATTCCATTTTCTAGCAGCCCCTGCCTGTGTGGCTGGGCCTGGTTTCCATGGAGACTCCAGCAGCAGCCGCGCTGTGACAGCGCAAGGCCAGGGTTTCCATGGAGACCGGCCCCAGCAGCATTGGCAGGGTGTGTGGCAGGGCGTGGAGCTGCTCCAGAGCCCAGCTGGGATCTTGCAGCAGTGACAGCGTGGTCTAGAGCTGGGGCAGAGCCCCGATCTGCAGCCTGTATGCCCCTGCCTGACGCATGCAGGCTACAGATAGTGGCTCTGCCCCAGGTCCAGACCATGCTGTCACCACCGCAAGATCCTAGCCAGGTTCCGGAGAGCAGCTCTGCACCCTGCCACATGCCCTGCCAGCAGGGACAGCACTAGCGGGGATGGGGGGGGTATAGCCATCCCAAAATTCCTTGTAGGCAAAATTCTCTGTAGCTAAGCCTGCCTGCAGTACAGCTCCCCACTCAGCACCCTCCACCAGGAAGAGGTTGGCACCACTGCTGCCTGCCAGTGCTGCTGGGGCTGGTCTCCATGGAAACCCTGGCCCATGCCATCACAGTGCAGCTGCTCTGGAGTCTCCATGGAAGCTGGCCCCAGCCACATGGGCAGGAACTACTTGAAAATGGAGTCTACTGCCAGCCAGACTTTGCCTGCCCCTGGTTTAGACAGAACATGAATAAACTATAAAAATTCCAGGAAAATGGGTTAATGAAAGTAGTCAAATTGAGGTAAGACGGCAGGGGAAACTCAGAGAATGGGGATAAGATACAGTAGTAGGGATTGGTAAAGAGGAAGTGGTAGGTCCTGCCCTCCCAGCACCCACCTGATCTAAATATTTTTAATTGGGAGTTAAGAGAATTCAGAAAAGTTACCCCCAGAATGCAACCTCATCTGAGACTATCTGGCACAAACACTAACTAGAAAAATGGAGCCTGGGGTCCTACTGAGGGTCTAACCTGGAACTACTGAAATGCAAATGATAGCTACTAGACTTGATCTTAGCCAAAAGGCCAAGAAGCTAGCTTTGTTGCCAGTACCTAATGGAAAAAGACAGCTTTCAAAGAAATCTAGGAGTTCTTGCACTATTTAAGACAACAAGATGGTGAAGAAGTCTGAAGAGGAGAACATCAACACTGGAGCAGAAGGTAAGCTCTCTGTTGCTACTTGAGGACTCCTCAAGGGAAGCAGAGGCCTTTCAAATAATTATCCAGAAGATCAGTGTCCAATCATGGGTCCCAGAACAGCCTCTTAATTTTGTTCCTGCCTACCTTGTTACTTTTGTTACTGCAATTGAGCAAGGTATTCTGCCAAGCAGAAGGAAGGTGACTTAAGAAAGGAGAGAAGGGGGAGGGGAAGACACCAGTTTTAATAGTTTCCCCCTCCACTCTGCACAACCTCTTGGGGCAGTGGCAACAGAACTCTTGCAGGCACCCTTTAAAGAATCCTGAACCATCTTGATGTACAGTAGAAACCAGCTGGTGCATATTTGTAGGGTCCATTTATTTTCTTTTACATTCAAACCAGACAAAGAACGAGAAAGAATGTGTCGGTCTGTCTGTCCATAACACTTTATTTGCATTCTGATTGGTTGACAAAAAGCCAGAGTGCCAAGAAGTGTTTGGACAGAAGGCAGTGATGCGCCGCCATAATGGTGGGGGCATGGGATGGATTGGGGGGGGGGGGTGGAGAACAGCACAGGGGGGCAAAACCCTGGGGGCAGTGGCAACAGAGCAGATGGAAAGGGGGGTGAGGCAAGCCCCCCCCTGCCCTGCACATGGCGATGATGGAGTGGACGGGGGAGGAAGGTGGGCAAGGCCATCAGAGCTGGCCTTGCACCCCCCCATGCTCCTTGGATGTGATGGTGGCAGCACAGGTGGGGGAGCAGGGTTGGGATGCCATGGGG